TGTAATTTTTCAGATTGTAGAATCTGCAATGCCCACCCTTTTCCAGTTTTAATTGTGATTTTGGAAATACCAAGTGCTTCAAAATCTGAGGAAGATTCCAGTTTTCTGTCCACCTCAAACGCAACTCCAATCATTTGAACACCAAGGGTGGAACAATGTTTGGGAAAAAACCTTCGTGGATTATGAGAGACTGCACCTGTGAAGAAGATTTCAAGCCTAAACTCTCTTGCTGAAAAATATTCAAATACAAAGGACTGGGCCTACTGTGCAGAAGTGAACATTTCTGGTTGTTTTCTGGTATGTTTTAGCTTTTGTAGGGCCACATAAAGGTACTTCCTGGCCTTATCATGTCCTTTCTAACTGGTGTATGTTCCTTACAGTCAAACCTCTGTTCTGCACTGAACTGTGCACTGGCCAGACTCAAATGCAAACTGGGATGGACTCTCCTCATCCACCTTCTTAAAACTTTGGGCATATCTGCACAGACTGGCAAAGTTGCTTTCCAAGAAGTGGAAAAAACATATAGGGGGAAAAAAAAAAGGGAAACAAGCAGAATCCTGAAAACTTCAGGTTTGTTTTTTTTTTTTTGAGCATCTTGGTCTAAATCCTGAAAGTTTTGCAGAAAACGCACAAAAAATGATATTTTATCTTTAAAAGTGCAAGAGTTCTGGCCCCCCAGTGAAAGACCTGTCTTGCCCCTACATGTGGGTGGAATATAAAGTTTTAGCAAGCTCTACCATTCTGAGTCATTCTCATCCTATTATCTCTCAGTCCTCTTGCTATTCTGAATACATATCCATTTGCAGAGGTTGGACTGAATTTTTCCTCTCCTCGAATCACCTCTGCTGCTTTCCCTGTGGGCAGAGCAATGGACTAAAGCCAGGAGCTCTGCCCTCCCTAATGCCAACTGAGACACAAATCCTGGTGCTTTCCATAGTGGTAGAGGTACCCTGGAGGCCACCACATCTCCTCCCCTATTTCTAACTTCAAATTTGCCCCTATTATCAGTGATTAATTAACTGGCAGGCTTTCCCATTCTCAGAAAATCATACGTTAAAATGGCTTTTTTTTTTTTAGTAGTGTTATTTCAGTGCCCAATTCCCTTCCTGACTGTCTCATATCTTCTCAAATAAGTTTATGTCCTCATAGACTTGAATAGCACGACAATGAGCAAAGCTGAAATGTCCATATGGAAAAGCTGAATGAGACATTACACTAGAAATCAATATTTAGAACACCCTCAAGTGGCAGGTTTGCAATTAGCATGGGAACTTAAAAGATCGATTGCACATGTTTTGCCTTGTGGTAATTAGTTCCCATGCCACTGAAATTCTAAAGTACACGACATGATATTATTAACTAAAAATGACAGAAAAATCTAGATAACGGCTTGTTCTGTGCAGAAATATCCATAAGAGCTCCAGGGCTGCTTCTATTTGCAGACCAGCCTGAGAAACAGGGAAATATTTTATTTTTGTTTTGTTGCATAATCAATACCAACACATATTTTCATCAGCAACGCCTGTTCAGTTTCGGGGAACTTCTTAGTTGTTATTTTTATGCCATTTTTTGATATGTATAAAGTTGGAGACATTACTTCAGACTTGACAATTTCGGTGTGTCATGCTTCATGAACAAAGTCTATGAAATATGCACATCGGGTTTATAATTTGGTTAGGAAACACTGCAACTTTGTTTTGAGAGTTTCTAAAATATTTGCTTGGCACAAGACTCCAATAAATTAAATTAGGCAGAATGCCTAACTTAATAATAAGAGAAAAAAAATTAATCCTTTTTTTTTTTTTCCCCAAACCTCCATTGACTCCATTTATTTGAAGCAATGCTGTTTTCCCTAAAGCTAAACTGCACTGTGTCCCTCTGGATTTTCATTTAGAAGCTCTTTCTTCCAAAACTCTCACCATTCTCATTGCCTTATTTTAGTCTTTGAACTATCCGTGTGTTTCTGTGGTTGGAGCGTCTGGAGAGGTGACTGGGATGTTCCCAGTGCTTAGGAAAAGCAGGACGCATTTCTTCACACACTTTACACTGACAGCGATGTTGGGAGGGTCGTGGTAAGAAGTGTGTGTTCTCCTGGTAAGGCTGACTCTCCCTTTCTCTTACCTGTTCTTCTTTCCATGTATGTTTCCTACGGAACTTCGTAGCAAGGAATTTTTCATCTTGTTTCCATGCAGTTGATTATTCCCAGTTATCAGCAGCACCTTTTAATTCCCTGCATTGAGCAGCATCCTATTTGTTTCAGGTCATATGGTTAATTTCCTCAGATCATTCCGAATGTTATGTCTGTCTTCCACAATTCTTGTGGGATCTGTGAGACTTACTAGTTTATTATCTTTTGCAAACTCATTGCTTTTGCAAGTCCTAATGGGATGCTGTTCCAGAACTGCGTTGCTCTGAAATGACAAAAATCCTTCTAATTTCCAGCTGAAATATATTCCTGGTCATATTTGTTCTTGTTCCTACCCTGTCTTAATTTCATTAGTGATTTCAATTCTACCCCAAAGCATTCATGCATGGCAATCAGATTTCCATTCAGCTCATCACTTTCGTAGACTTGATAAACAAAATTGTCTTTGTTACTTCCCACGGTGAGATTTCCGTTCTGTCTCCCTCCTACCAGCCCTACTAAAAGCCTCCTCCAGTTTGACTTGATTTATCTTGATCTGGAGTGAACAACCGCTAAAATCCAGCAGCTTGTTCCTATATTTTCAGTTGCAGTCAATGCTTAAATGTAGCATTACACACACATCCATTCTAGAACACCTGTTTTTAAAAAATCATGTCACTTATTTTATATCTCATGGAGCTGACCATGGAAGGCGAGTTTTCTCTGAGTTCAATCTGCAGATTAAGCAGATCAGTGCATATACTAAAGTCCACACAGAGTTCTGTTGGGTCAGGAAAGGTGGTTTTTAGACAGAAACACAGACCGGAATGGAAACTTGTGGATCTTCAATACCTGTTCTGCTGGCATTGGCAAACACATGATATACTCCTCCTGATAGTGAGGGTGGGGAGGCCCTGGCACAGGCTGCCCGGAGAAACTGTGGCTGCCCCTGGATCCCTGGAAGTGTTCAAGGCCAGGTTGGATGGGGCTTGGAGCAAGCTGGGCTAGTGGAAAGTGTCCCTGCCCAGGCACGGTTTCTGCTTCTCTGACAATATCTAAATGTGAAATGGGATCAGAGGTGACTAATATTACTGGAAGAATGTGTGGAGGAAGAAGCATAAGCCATCCTGCAAATAAAAAAAAGATGCTCAAAATGCTATACACTGGAGGAAGACAATTTTCACCTTACCTTTGTCTGAAGACTCGTTATTTACCTTGCAGTTCTGTCTGCCATGCAACAATCAAGTATGATTATTAAGAAAATTTAGTATTCCTGAGTACTCTTCCCTGTTATTCTGTTATTTCCCCTGTTCTGCCTACCATAGTTGAGGGACTGCAGGACATGCTGTGTTCTGACTAGACTTTTCACTAGGATGACACAAAGAGAGTTTATTAGCCATTCAAAATAGCCAGCAGAGTAGCTTCTCAAATATCTACAAAGATGCATTTTAAGGAACTCGAAGTAATAGATTTGCGTGAGCTCAGAACACCTTTAGCTCTTGCTAAAAGGAGCTCAGCTTTTTATTGCTCCTCCGGAAAGCTGAGGTGCACTGCACACATAGGGCTGGAACCAATGAAACCACAAATATGTGGTCCTGTTGTCTGATGATAAAGTGCAGTGTTATACATTTAGGAATTTAGAATATGGATGACTTGGTGACTGGGGATGGTAACGTGCACCTCTTTGCTGTATACTGCTCTAGAATTTAGTGAAACTTGTGTGGGTAAAGTATTGGTCACATTCTTCTCTGCCTAACCTCTCAAGAAACCTTCCATAATCTACAATAAGGATTACAAAATTAAATATACTGTACTTCCCTTTTTTTTTCCACTAGTAACAAACCAAATCAAAGCAGTGGTTTGGACTGAACTTCCATGAGTCCTGCTGGAAGCAGTAAAAGTACAGCTTTCCAAATATACAACCTATGAAATCCATAAACTGCAACAGAGAACTAAAGAATTTCTATTAAAAGTTGCTGTGCAAAGAAAGCAGTGCTTTTTCTACAGGACAACTTGCAGCAAATTTTTGTCTTTTACTCCAAATAGAGCAGAAATGTCAGTGTCATTGTCTTTTTATTCTTTCTCCCCAAGCAGCAAAAAATTTGGCATTCCAATTGCAAATGCTCTTATGTCTACCCTGGGTGTGCCACATAAATGATGCCTGAAGTCCATGACAGTTTATTCTATCCTGGCGTTTCCATCCCCAGGAACTGAAAATTCTTCTGATGAAATAGAAGAATTTTTCAAGGAGAAATGCAAGACGAGCCTTTGTGCAGGGCTCCCATGGAGGGAAGGGTATTTCAGCAGCGACAGCCCCTGAGCTGTGAAGTACCACATCCAGCTGGCAGATGGAGATGTTTGCAAGCGCTGAACCCAGAGCTTGGGAAGTGCAGGTCTCGCTTAGCCCTGCAGGCAGTTAGAGAAATGACCTGTGCATTCAGCAGGATGCTTTCTCCCAGAAATACGGACAGGTACATGCCATCAGCACTTGCTGGCAATGTCTGGTGTAACTCCCCGTGACTGACAGGGACACTTGCTGCCAGCCCATGTCAGCACCCTGGATCTAGGAGCTGCTGCAGGCTCCTCATTCCCTCTGTACACATTTTCACCAAAACATCCAGCTGAGTCTGTCCTGAGAAATAGAAGTCCTTCCAGCCCAAGCAGTGCCTGTTTCCTTTTCTCCACACAACACACACTGCCCCAAGAACAACAAAGCTTATGCCTTTAGCATTTTTTCTCTGCCAAATCAATGACTTCAGTGTGATGAAAAGAACGAATGCTTCTGATTGATCCAACAAAGAGTTTTATTTCCACCTGTTACAAGAAGTCTTGGTCTACCAGCTGAGTCCAACATAGATGAGCAGACAGACTTGACTATACTTAAATCAACAATTTATTTAGAATTGAATTCAGGAAACAATGGAACTGTATACAACGAGAACTGTATACATGAAGCAAAAAGTCTTTCCACCACCTATTCACCAAAATACATCTGAGTCTGTGCTGAGAAACAGAAGTACTCATAAATAAATGGGATGATATTCTCTGTGAGTGAGTTCTCTGCTGCAGATTGGACAAGCTCTGGAAATCTCAATGGCAACAGGGAGGCATCGACTGCAGAAGAGATGGCCGCACTGAGTTGACAAAACCAGTCGTTCACTTCGCAGAATCTGGATGAAAGGAAACCACAACATGTATTGGGAGGAAAGGATTCAAGTTTGCTGCTCTTGTTGGCACCAGGCTACTAGGACTTGGAGGATCTGGAATCAATCCATTACTGCTAGTATAATGGGGGACCCACAGATCTGTCAGTGCCATCTTGGCAAGGGTTTTTCCCTCTATGTCCACCACCAAGAAGTGACTTTCGGAGCCCCATAGCAAGGTCTGTGCTCCCAGCCAGCTGCCTGCAGCATCCCACATAAGACAGCTGAGTTACACAACTCCCCCTCTGCCCTGTTCCCCCTCCCACAAAGCAGAAAGGATGACAACATGTGGATCCTTACCTTTGAGTAAAAATCCATGCAAATTGGACACCAAATAGTCCCTGGTCGCCATGCACTAGAGAGAACAGATCCAGAAAGAACAAGCAGCCATTACTATCACTGGGAATCGAGGGTTACTGATACAAAAAATGTCACATAATCATCTGCACTGAGTAGCCATGATGCATTTCTTTTGAAGAATCCTGCAAATCTGTAACTCTCTCAGTTTGCTGCATGTAATGAGGCGTTCAGAGCTCCCTGTCCTAAAGGAAATGGCGTCTTGGTTTTCACTGGGAGAAAGACGCAGTTAGCCACCTTGCTCTAGGATTTGAATTAACAGCAGTCTCTAGCACTGGGCAGTCTATGTATGGCAGCATTAATCTCCAACAGGTCATCAATAACAGCTTTGTAACTGAAGGATCTAGCTGTCCTCTGGGAACTCTTCACCCCAGAAGGGAATGAGGTCTGACACTACAGAGTAACACTGCAGATGGCTCTGGCAAGCTCCAGCCCCAGGAAGGACCCTTTGGTCAATGTTAAATGCTGCAGCTCTGAGCTCTTTCAGCCTCACCTGAACAGAGCAGGAAGGCACATTCTGTAATGGAGAAGCTTGAGACCGAAGGAATACAATATTCCTTTTTTAATATTTTCTCCTATGTTGCCTTTCAGTAATCCAAAAGGCTCAAAGCACACCAGTTTTATTAAAACCAGCACAGAATTTGCCCAGCTGCTGCCTGCCGGTCTCGTGATGCCAAGCCTCGTCCATACCAACAAAAGTATTTCTGTGTCTAACATCACTACCAGAGCTTGGCATGAAAACTAAATGACAATACATTGTAAGCTACAGCCTGTGACTTATCTCCCTTCCTTGCCATACCCCCACTCCCATCTTTAAGGTTGTATGCAAAGCTATGCATCTGTCTTGGGCTGCCTTTTTCTCCTAAAGTGCAAATGGTATCTTTTGATCATCATACAACACAGGATGCTATCCTCACTGAAAAAGGGAAATAAGTAGAGTAAGTGAAGGCCGTGGTAGTATAACTTAGTCCCATCTATATAAAAATTTTTAAAAAAGCAAATTCAGTGTTTGGTAGGTCATGAGGCATACATACTTTGCTCTTGCAGTTTGCTCTTCTGGTGATATCTGTTGTTCAGATGCTGTAGCAGTCACATTCACATCATTGACTGTTGTTTCATCTTCATCATCTCTACTCAGTACAGAACTGTCTAACTGTTGATGGCTTCTTAGTGAAAGATTTCTCATTTGTTGTATATACTCTGTAATTTAATTTTGATAAGTTAAAATTCTGATTCTCTCTCTATCTCTCTCCCCCTGGAACTATCCTTCAAATGCATTATCATAAATAGTCTGTAGTGGTTCCTATTTTAAATGAACTCTATTCACCTGGGTTAAATGCAATCTTAAACAAACTAGTTTCCCAAATATTAAAGCTGAAGCCATCCAGACGTTTCTGCTACGGACCAACACAAAGCATTTGCCCTATTCACCCTGCAAACAGCTGAAAAGGTGACCCAAGACATTCTCAGTGTATAAGTTCTATAGCCTTACACTACCTGTGAATAAATCTGCCCTGTAAAGGGAAGCTCCCTCACCCCATTCTTACTAAAAGTGTCTGCAGCAATCCTATGGCCAGGAAGGGCAACAGTTGCTGTGTGACAGTGGAGAGAGAGGACTGCAGTCAAGTTTCCAAGGAGCATGGTGACGTAGCACATACACAACAAAAAGGCCTGGTAAAACACAGAGTGCTTTGTTCAGAAACCTTCATAAGGGATTGAAGAGATGCTTCAATCTAAAACTGTATATTCCAGAGCTGTTGTGCTTGTTGCTGTATGATGCTAAACTGTTGCACTCTTTTTGTCTGTTAAACCAAACCTCCCCGCTCAAAGGCAGTTTCTATCAAATGAGTCTTGTTAAGAACAGTCCTTGGAATTTATAAAGTGGTTTAAAGTAGTGTCTCCTTAGAAATTGTCATCATCTCTCTCCTGAGTTAAGGGAACTTGACAATGGAGTTATACTGCCCAAGTTCAAAGGAGATCAATTTTTAATGGCCTGGACTATAATATCTAAAGGGTCAAGAAATACTGTTTGTTTTTTAACTCTCAGAAACCCCAGGCAACAATGATGTCTGCAAATCTAGAGTCCATGTAACAATAATCAAGCACTAATCAATTAAAATTACAGAAAGTGTCCCCAAATTAAAGTTCCTTTCTGCATAAATATTCAGCTACAACTTTTATTTGCAGGGATTTTCCAGTGTGTCTGATAGTGGCTATCAGATGCAGATTGGATCCATTCTCTAAGACGCTGGACAGAGGCTTTAGCATTGTACTTTGCCTTTTGCTAAATGCAGTTTCAATTCCTGCTCCTCAAGTTTGTTGAAAAAGACAAACAAAACATAATAATTATGCTTAAGACATTTCCATTATCAACTGTAAAATGTCAACTCACCTTCAGGAAGCTTCATCAATGCATATGGGAAGGGAGAGAAAAGAAAATACAATTAGACTTTGGTCTGCATGCCTGGTGTTGCATAACAGCACCAGCTCAGGGAAGCAGTTACAACAGCACAGGGGAAGAATGGTAGACTATCAACCTCTTATTTTGGTTAAGTACACTCAAACTAGTAGTCAATTAGCTGCTACCCCAAAAACAAGTAAGAAGTTGCTGCTGGTTCTGCTCCCTCTGCTGCAAAAGGGCAGAAAACAGAGGCAGCTTAAGAACCATTTGAAGATTCTCCTCCCAGCTCCTCAGTTTCAGTTCTCTAACTGGATTTGGGCTGAAAGTATTACTTTCCCTTTTTCTCCCTCAAATGGGCAAATTCAGCTGTGCTAGCCACAAACACTTTGTGTTAAATGAACAGCTGCTGAAGAAAGGAAACCACAACGGGGATTGGGAGTAAAGAATTCCAGTTTGCTGCTCTATTGACACTAGGGAAATAGGACTTCGAGTATCTGCCAGTTACTCCTAGAACAATAAGGAACCCTCAGTTCTCCGAGTGCCATCTTAACAAGGGTTTCTCCCTCTACATATACCACAAAGAAGTGACTTGGAGTGACGTGCTAGTTGGTGCTTCAAAGCAAGGTCTGTTCTTCAAGCCAGCTACCCATAGCACCCCACATTAGCCAACTGAGATGTACAGCTCCCCCTCTGCCCCTTCCCCCCAACAAAGCAGAAAGGATGACAACATGTGGATCTTTACCTCTGAGCTCTTATCCACCCACACTGGAGAACTAACAGGACCGGTTGGCCATGTGCTACAGAGAACAGAACCAGAAAAAACATGCAGCCACTAATTTTACTGTGCATCAAGGGTTACCAATACATAACATGTCAGAAATGAAAACATTCCTTATTCAGATTTAGCATCATCCCAGCCCAGCAACAAGAACTGTTATGTACTGCAAGCATTTCAATGTATCTCAAGTCATAGTGTAAGATACATTCAATAATGCCTTCATGAACAAAGAAAAAAGGTTCCTACTGGATTTTGATGCTTTTGATTTGGTTTTTGGTGGTGTGGGAAATATCCCTCTTTTTAAATTTAGAAAGACAGCATAAACTCAGGGAACAAAGAAACAAGGAAGAATATATTAAACGCAGTAGGTGTTTCTCACACTGAGTTTCGGGGGGAAAGATCCCTTCGGTTTAAATTCCATACATTTTATAGTTTCACAAAATCCCCACCCTTTTCAGATAAGCTTAATATATTCTTTTTTGCCTAAAAAGGTTTCTTTTCTCCGAAAAGGGGCTTTCCCTTCTTTCCAATTGGCCACTGGACATCCTCTGTCAAAAATGATGGATCTTCCTTTGTTCTTAGCCCAAAGAGAGAAGAGAAACCCCTGCGTACAAAATTCTCACGTGGCCCGGAAAGATTTTAATTTTTAGGAATTTTTATATTTCCCTTATGCGGCCGAAAAAGTCCCTGATACCCAGTCCCAGTCTGGGACTTGAATATCTTACAACTTCACGATACGTCTATAAAAAAACATATTTTTATTTCTTACAGTGGGTTTTTTTTTTTGATTTTGGTTTTGTTTTGGTTTTTTTTTTAATTAGTTCTCTTCCAGGCAGGCCTCTATATTCCAGCTCAAAAATTTTCACAGAGAATCAAACAGAACCCAAAAGCTCAGCAAAAACCTGTTTGTACCATGTATCAGAAACTAGACTTTAGAGAGACATTTTATCTGTCACATACCCATTATTATCTCTTGGTTCCTCTTCAGTGTCACTCATTAGTAGCACTATTGAATTATCTGCTGCTCTGGAAACAAGTGGGTGCTGCTGGTTTTGGTCCCGCTGCTGCAATGGGGTAGAAATGGAAGCAACTTAGGAACCATCTGAAGCCTCTCCTCCCTGCTCCCCTGTTTCAATTCCCTAATTGATTTTGGGGCCTTCCAGGGATGGGGCATCCACAGCTTCTCTGGGCAGCCTGTTCCAGTATCTCACCACCCTCACAATTCTCCCTAGTATCTAATTTAAATCTCCCCACATTTAGTTTAAAACCATTCCCCCTTTTCCTATCAGTCTCTGCCCATGTAATAAATCACTCTACCTTTCCTACAGGCCTCCTTCAGGCACTGGAATGCCTCAGTGAGGCCTACCTGGAGCCTGCTCCTCTCCAGGATGGACAGCCCCAGCTCTCCTGGCCTGTTTGTGGAGGAGAGGTGCTCCAGCCCTCTGAGGCCTCCTCTGGCCCTGCTCCAACAGGCACATCCTGCTTGTGCTGGGCCCCAGAGCTGGACACAGCACTCCAGGTGGGGCCTCGTGAGGGCAAAGCAGAGGGAGACATTCACCTCCTCCCACCTTCAGCCCGAGGAATACTGTAGCCTTTCAGTGGCTAAAGAAATCCGCCCCCCCCCTTAAAATAACACTTGACAAGGTGTCACTAAATAGAAGTCGGTGGTTCAGGCTGCCAGCAAAAAGACAAAAGAAGGATTCAAGGTTGATGCTTTTATGGGCTGTTTCCATCACTGCACAACTTACCAGAGTCCAGAGATTACTGCCTAGAGGTTTTTAAGTCTGGGCTTTTGCATGTGAAGCATTGCCTATAAACCAACAGGCCACGTGCACTAACTTGCTCCTTGAGCACCGTGGATGGGCGTTAACTGAACGGAAAAGGGCAAAACGGTCAACAGCAAAGAGTCAGGCCTTCACTAGAGGGAGAGGGGGGTCTTAGGATTTAGTATTTTCAGGACAAACCAGGCAGGATTTGGTAAGAGAGAAGTTGTATAACATCTGTTTCCTTCCAGAGACCCCCAGACTGCACCGGGCAAAGTCTGTAACTGAACTGTTGGAGAGTAAAGAGTATTAGATGTCAGATGAAAAGATAGGCCTTCTCAAAGCTTTTTTTGGGGCACAAAGAATAACAGAATATGCCAAGTTGGAAGGGACCCACAAAGAACATAGAGTCTAACTCCTGGCCCTGCACAGGACCATCCCCAAGATTCACACCAGGTGCCTGAGAGCATCATCCAAACGCCTCTTGAATTCTGTCAACCTTGGAGCTGTGACCACTGCCCTGGGGAGCCTGTTCCAGTGCCCAACCACCCTCTGGGGGAAGAACCTTCCTCTGATATCCAACCTAAACCTCCCCTGACACAACTTCAGCCCATTCCCTCAGGTTCTTCACTGGTCACCACAGAAAAGAGATCAGTGCCTGCCCCTCCTCTCCCCCTCACCAGGAAGTTGTAACTGCAGTGAGGTCTCCCCTCAATCTCCTCTTCTCCAGGCTGAACAGACCAAGTGATCTCAGCCGCTCCTCATATGGCTTCCCCTCAAGGCCCTTCACCATCCTTGTGGCTCTCCTTTGGACACTGTCTATAAGCTTAATATCTTTCTTACATTGTGGTGCCCAAAAGTGCCACAATGTTCAAGCTGAGGCTGCATCAGTGCAGAGCAGAGCAGGACAATCCTCTCCCTTGACCGGAGGGACTGTGTCCTGCCCCCCAGGACACAGTTGGCCCTCCTGGCTGCCAGGGCACTGCTGACTCATATTCAACTTGCCGTCAACCAGGACCTCCGGGTCCGTTTCCACAGCACTGCTACCCAGCATCTCATTCCCCAGTCTGAACATCCAGGATTGCCCCATCCCAGGTGCAGAATCCAGAACTTTCCCTCGTGGAAAAGAACTTTCCCGTATGGAACTCCATATGGTTGGTGATTGACCAGCCCTCTAATTTGTCAAGGTGTCTCTATAAGGCCTCCTTGCCTTCCAGGGAGTCAACAGCTACTCCCAGTTTTGTGTCGTCTGCAAACTTGCTTAGTATCCTTTCCAGCCCTGCGTCCAAGTCATTTATGAAGGTGTGGAAGAGCACTGGGCCTAAAATGGAGCCCTGTGGAACCCCCCGAGAGACTCCCTGTTCATGTGCTTCTAAGGTAAAAGAAAGGAAAAATATGGCTGAGAGAGGGGAGGAGAAATAAATTACAAAGTGTCTCGGCTTTCTAAGAGTACTTCAGAATTGCCAGTAGATTGGTTTACATCAGCTGTGCTTTGCAGGTATAACCATGCACTTCTTGCAAGCTGGAGGAACTGTTAGAAAGCATGGGACGTGCACTTCTGCAGCAGATTTCTGAGAAGGAGCCCACGAGTGACACCCCTCCAGCACAGGAGACAGGCAGAGCTGTTTCCAAACACCCCTTGGCATTTGCCACCCCAGCTTGAGGCTTCCAAGGCTGAAACTGAGCAAGACCCTCAGTAACTCAGTTCCAGTGCTGAGGGCGTGGATGTGCACCAGAGCTCGGAAAACATTCCTCTGGCATGTTTTCTGGACACACAACTACTGCAGACTGTGGAATGTCACGTAATAACCTCTGGAGGCAGCTCTCTTGTCAACAATATGTGCGATTATTGTCCTGTCGGTTACTCTTAACAGAAATGTTCATAGACCATCAATACATTACCCCATTCAGACAATTCACTGCACTTTGTTGTTTTAAAGGCAGGTGCCATTCTCCATCTCTTCTTTTTCAAGGCAGAAAAGTGCTACCCAAACAAACACAGTGCAAAGTTTTCCCAAGGGCACCAGAAAACTTCAGCTTTCTTTGAAACATTTTTGTTTGCAGGTGCTTTTTGCAAAAGTTCAAAAAAAATAACTAAGCTCTTTGTATTTTTTCTTGCAAGTGTTTTATTGGACAATTAAAAAAAATAACTGAACTAAGTTCCTAAGTTTCTAAGGCTTCAAAATGACAGAAAACTGGAAGATATTTGACATCCTGGAGAAACAATTCCGGCATGTTTTCTTCCAGTCTCAGTCACTGTAATCCCTGCCTGGTGGAGTGTGACAGGTCTGTCAGGCTGCTGGTCGATACCAGAGCACAGGTCTCTCTGATGACTTCAGCAAAGATCTCTGGAAAAAGAGAGGGAGAGAGAAAACCTTTGGTTGCTTTCATACAACAGGCACATCTGACAGAGGACACTCAGCAAACACAGTTACTTGATTCAAAGGGCACTTGCAAAGCCTTTAGAATTTCAGCAACTGCCTCATCAGCGTGAGCCTTTTTGCAGCCTTCCTACCGCACATTGTGCTTATTTTCTTTTGCCACTTTGCCAACAGATCATGGCACTGCATCCCTTCATCCTCAGTAGCTCACAAAGCCTTGTGTTTTATGGAAAATGGCACTGCAAAGGCCACGTGGGATGGCAGGTTAGAGGCTGAACTGCACCCTCTCTACAGCTTTTACAGCTGCACCACTGCTTGCACCACAGGAGAACACAACAGTTTTAACAACAAAACTGTACAATAACAAGAGGAGCAGCAATTCTAGGAGTTGCTACTGGCAAATACTGGTCATGTGCCCAGCAAGGACTCCAAAATTCAAGTGCTGCTCAGGAGCCAAGTTCCTTTAGCAAGTGCTGCTCCAACAGGGCAGGTTGATGCTGCACATCTTGCCTGATTCTGCTGTGCATGGGACAGTCCTCTCCCCTCTTTCACCACCCACTTTTCCCAGTGGGAATGGTCCCTACTCACTGCACACATGCTCCCCTGCTTCTCTACCTTGGCACAGCTGAGGACTGTTTTTCACAGAGCACAGCACCATCCCTGACCTGATCCAGAGCCCTCTCAGCCCAAAAACGCTTCCTATCCTTGCCACTCCAAAAGCCATAACATGACTAAAGCAGCTGCTCATTTTCACTGAGAGAAAGGGAAGAGTGAACTCCAGAACTAAAGATCTTCCATCACTACTGCAGTTGGAATATCCTTTCCCCAACTAAACGCTGGCCCCAACGCCTCCATGCTTTCAGAGCACCTCAGCGTTTTGTCTGCAGAACAGCAGTTTCCTCCTGTTGTCAGGACACAAACCTCAGCACCAGTCCAAGCCAACACCTCAAATTCCAGCCACAGGCAAGCAGGAATAGAATGCAGTAGCCCATGACTGATGCACGAGCCTCCCCTGTCGGGAACACCGACGACTTGGAGACACGCTCTTGGAAGCACTCACTCTAGCAAGGACCTGGCCAAAATACTGGCAGTGCCCTGGTGTGCAAACTGGCAGGGAAGCTTCAGCACATCTACCAGAAACACTGCAAATGCTACACTGGGATAAACCAGAAATTCCTGGCCACCAAGGCCACCTGAAATGCCAGACAGTCAGGACTCAAAAGGCACACACTGGTTGTGTTTCTGTGGGTCACATAAGAAAAAGACAAAGGCAACAAGATGATTTGAGTGGAGAAGGGAAATGCTCTCTACCCTTACCCACCTACACCTACAAAGCTGTTTTCTGGACTGGTTGCTTCCGGGATGGAAAGGCAAATCTCCACCAGATTAAGTTTCAGAAGGCATCTTATGTTCGAAGCAAACTCAGGAGTGTTAGGGCAGGAGATACAGTTCTGCAGCTCCCCCTTTTAAGAAAGACTTAGATTTAGGCATCTTTCTGACATCCCACCACTGTATACTCACTTCACTTTATTGCAGTCTTTGCTTACTGAAGACTAGCTTTCATCTTCATATCTCTCCCCTCTAACAGGAAGACAGAAAAAAGGAAAAAGGAAAAAAAGTCACTCAGGTTTTGAAAATACACACCAAGTACAGACCAGTCCACTTAAGCTGGAGTGATTCTGATTCTGACTGAGGACAGGAAAACTAAGACACTGGAATTCACCAAGTGGAAACCCACAGCAGAGCAGATATAGATTTCAGGCTCCCTGACAAGCAACCAAAAAGGACTTTTTATCTAATTTGCTTGGATAGATTAATTGTTTTGTAGTGGCAGGGATGAAACTGCTAAACCTCTTGTTGAAACCTCTTATTTCCATTGCTGAAAATAAGCATTTCATCTCTTCTAGGTGGGCTTTTCATTTGCTCAGGAGGGGATTTGTGACCATTGAGAAGCAGCTGTGGAAAGTTTTGATTCACAGTCGCTTTAGACGTTTGAGAACACCTTTATGGGAGAAGCATAATGGCTCCACTCCCAACCTGTGAAGTGGAAACTTTGCAGCAGTTTTTCAAACACCCCCTTGGTCCTTGTACAAACTCACCTCCCCTCCCACCTCTCACCTTTTTCTTCCCGCTGGGCTCATCAGGACTGTCCATGGCTCTCCTCTTCAAGTCCCGCTTCCTTGCATGAGGGAGGTCCTTGGTCTCTGCTCTCTTCTGACCTTCATCTCTCCTGGGGCTCTGAGGGACTTTCACCAGGTAACTGAGCTCTTCTTGCACCCGGACAGGCTCAGGAGCTGCGGGGTCTCCCACTGGTGAGAGCAACTTCTTCACCCCGAGAGCAAAGGGCTCTTTGACTTTGGCCTGGTGGGAGCCCTTTCTGTTCTCAAGGGGCTCTTGGAGGGCTCTGATCTCCAATGGATCAGGGTTGCTGTCCTCCTTCCGGCATCTCTTGGCCCCGTTGTGCACCAAGGCCTTGCCAGGCCTTTTGACACCTCCAATACGGTGGGTCTCTGAGCCCGAGGAGCTCTCTGAGTCACTTGTCTCGGAGTCTGAGGAGCTCTCAGAGCCACTGGTCTCAGAGTCTGAGGAGCTCTCAGAGGCACTGGTGCTCCCTGACTCTGGGCTGCTGGATTGAAAATATCTTGGAGGAGCAAGTGGAGAAGGTGGCTGTTCAACAACCTGTTTTGTTCACAAAAACAAAGAGGAGAGGGGAAGGAAAGGTTAGCTCAAGGAACTCAGAACAATGCCACAAGGTGAGATGATACAACATTGAAAACTGACCTGGTTGTCATCACTCTCCTCACTATCACTGACCAGCAGGTCATCCAGGAGCACACTGAAACTACAACCAGAACACAAATATCAGCCAAGGCAGACACATTCTCAAGCACCACACTCTGCACAAGATTTGGGTTGGGCTTGCCAAAACAAACCAAGCTCCCCCAGCCCTCCTGAACATTTGGCACGTTCAGGCTGTGAAACCCTGTCACTGCCTGAATGGGGGGTAAAATGGCAACACACATCCAGGCATTTCCTTGGGCTTTCCAGCTGACCTGGGGATATTGGGCAATGGAGGTCAGGAGCAAGAGGCAGCAAAGACCAAGCTCAGAGAGGGAATGCTGCTCCCAACAGGCTCCCTGGCCCAGACTGCAGGGGGGAAGGAGTCTGATCCTTGCACAGGAAGAGACTCACATACTCTCAGCCTGCACTGCTCCCTAAGGGTACGACATTAATACTTGGGGGGTCTTCTTCAGTTTTGGTTTGCTTTCAACACAGGCAGTATAACCATTCCATGGTTTAGTGGACTTGGCATTGCTGGATTAATGGTTGGACTTGAGGATCTTAAAGGTCTTTTCCAGCCTAAACCTTTTTGTGAGTCCATCCGGAAATAATAATGTTTCATGGGTGAAAATTCCCTCCACTCCAGTTTTCTAAGAAAAACCAGACTGATAAAACTTAATCTTCAGAATCCTCAAGGAGAGCACCAGTTTTTGTGCCTTCCAGGTTCTGTTAAGGACCTGCCCAGTAGAGCTGGGAACAGAGTCTGGTTACTTACGATCTTCTTGGCTGAGAGCTCGGCAGTGTTCCTGAGGCTGTGCCAGACTGCTCTGCACATCAAACAGGAATAGGTTGGATTAATTTGCCTCACTTGTAGCCTGTTTCACCCTATGATCTCGGAGCACCAGATTGGAAAGTCACTTTCTTCCAGGATGTGTTTGCCACTGACAATATTCATCGCTCCATGGGCTTTCCCAAAGGGGTTTCCTAATGAAATACTGCTTGTGCCCTGCTGAACTGCTACCTTAATTTCTAGGTAATGAATGTTTACAGTCTCTATCTAAGTTCATCCCTGTTCAACGAAGCAGGGGAAATCACCCTTCTTAATCCATGTAAACATCTGAAGTTCTCCACAGCATTTCACACACCACACACAACATGACCTGTCAATACATACATAACTGGATATTTGCTTTGGATTTCTACTTACCCTGATTCTGAGCTGCAGAGCCATCTGTGTCCTAGAAAGAAAGACAAAGTGCATGCTGAGAATTAAATAAATCAGCTCTCTCTCAATAGCACTTTACCAATGATTGGTTTCCCAGGTGTTACCTACTGGACTAAACACTTTGACTAGCTTGTCACAGTCTGACTGGCAAGTGTCCCAGAGTCCAAGCTGGCCTGACACACCTCAGCATGCACAGAAATGATACATGCTACTGCCACCAAAAATGTATTACTGGCACATTAGGGGTAGGTACCTCTTGGAAGAAGTATTTAAAAACTTTACAAGTGCCAAG